ATAAAACTTAATATCGCTCACCATAATGCGGTGAACGAAAATTTTTTTGAATAGGTGAACAGATCCAAAGAAATGAAAATCGCAACTGAATAGAAGTGACCCAAGACTAAGATGATTATTTATATTAGAAAAAGGGTCCATGCTAACCAGCGGTTACGAACTGAAAATTTTGATGATATCACTGATATTGACATGTTAGCGATATGTATTTTATTTTAAGCTAGCGACCCGCCCTCGCTTCGCTTCGGAAACATTAAATTTTATTATTGATAGCTGAGTCCGCCATGGTACCCGCGATTATAATTATTGTCGTACGCCGGGTGACACCGCGGAGCGAAGCTAGTCTAAATAAAGTAAAGTTACTCCTTATATCATCAGCTACATATCAGTGAAAGTCTCGTCAAAATCGGTCCAACGGTTCCAAAGATTAGCCGGAACAAACCGACAGACAGACAAAAATTGTAAAAAACGTTATTTTGGTGTATGTACCGTATATACCTAGTCAGGTCATAAATTCTGTCACATGTTTAATGTAAAATAATTGAAGGGTTTATTCATTATGTAACCATTCATATACCAAAATGAACTGAACAAAACATACATTCTTATGACACTAAAGTTTATTCAAAATGACCTCCGTGATTTTGAATACAGGCCTTCAACCTGCGCGGCCAGTCGTCTATCGCAGCACGAACGAAGTCCATGTCAATATCGGCGGCTGCCTTAATCAAGGATGTCTTGAGTGACTCCAAATTGGGATGAGGCTTTGAGCACGCCTTTTCCTCCAAGTGTTGCCATATCTTGTAATCTAACGGATTCAAATCTGGACTGGAGGAGGGCCAGTCTTTGTGCCGGATGAAGTCGATTTCACGCGCCGCCAGCCAGTCTTGTGTGCTCTTCGCTCTATGAGCTAGCGCCAAATCTTGTTGGAATACCCAGTGCCTGTTATTGAACATGGTATGAGAAACAGGTTCCACAAGGTTCGTCAGGACTGTATTTTGATACACAACTGCATTCGTTTTTACACCTTTCTCACAAAAATGTACCTCTGTTAAGCCCCAATAAGAAACTCCCAACCATACCATGAGCGAGGATGGAAAATTACCTCGTTGGACACGCGGAATATGGTTGCTCGCTTCTTCACTACTGTGTGCGTACACCTTATCATTTTGTTTGTTGTAGCTCTCTTCTACGGTAAAAATTTTTTCATCCGAAAAAAAAATATCCCGCTATTTTTTTCCCGCGTACCGCTTCAACAAAGCGCGGCATCTCTTCAGTCCCAGGTCCATTAGACGAGCATTCAAACGATGTCCTGTTTTTTTTCGATATGCCCGAAGCCCTAAGTCTTCATTTAACACCCTTTTCACCGTGGTTCTGCTTAACCCCATCTGAAGGGCCAACAGTTTCTGCTTACGTTTGGGATTTCTTTGAATTCGCGATTTCACAGCTTTTATCACTGCTGGAGTCCTAACAGACCGAGGGCGACCACTTCTTGACCTGTCATCTACACTAGAGTCTTCATTGTATCGTTTGATGGTACGATAAACGAATCTTTTGGTTATATTAAAAATTTTCAGTATGTTAAAAATTTAAATTGGCGCGTAACCGCAACGATGCAACGCAATGACTGCAACACGGTCTTCTTTAAGCGTCCACTCTATATTTAAAAATGAGTAAAATTCTAAAAGTATACATTATTATTTTCATGAACAATTCGAAATTCGAATTCAATAAACTTTTTTGTGGCCAGCATTCTAAAAGAAAAGTTTTTACTGTGTGACAATACTTATGACCTGACTAGGTATATATATTCATATGCATTTAGTAAAAAGCGGTTATTTCAATATTACAAACAGACACTCCAATTTTATTTATATGTATACATAAAAAACGAGCTTTAGGTAAAGAGTGCAATTAAAGCTATGTCTTGTAAGAAAGCGAAGAAAAAGTAAAGGACAAACGTCAAATGAAAATTATTATCCGAAATACAAAGTATAATTAATACATACTCTTGACAAAGTCAATGTAAAAATAGTTTTATTCTTGATAGAAGTATTGTACCGAACATTTATTAAGTCTGTTTTACTGCAGGCGATATTTATCGAAAGGTACTATAGAAATTCTTGATTTTATTAATTAAAAGACTTTTGGGGGGGAACGCGACGAGTGAAGTCGTGTAATTTGTTTTTTTTTGTCTATTTAGTGTTGTTTTGAAAATGATATAAAGCCGCTGAACGTAACTTCTCGGGATCTTCCAAAAAGTCAACCGAAAATGTCTCAGTAAATGACCACCATTTTACTGAGATTGTATTTCATCCCATTTCATCTCATTTCGTTTCCGTTTCATTTCATGCCATGTTCCATATTAATCAACTTCATTTAATTTTCATTTCATTTCATAATATCATTTTTCATACAAAAAAGTTTTCATTAAATTAAAACAAGACTTGACCTAAAGGTCTTAGTTACC